GAAATCCCTCCTGAGTCCCCTTCCGAGACAGAAATCTTCTGCAACGCCACAGGATGCCTCAGGTGCACCTCATTTATGTGTCTTGCGTCTCCAGCTGCTACATGATTGATTAAAATGTATGCGTATGCTTTTCCTTTCCCATGACTGCATTTGCATTTGGCAAGCTTGTTTTTTCACACCCAGCGCTTTTTTTTGCTGATTACTCCAGCCTCCAGTTACCTTTGACTCTAATGCATTGGTGCCAGGAGTCCTGTAATCTATATGTGCACAACACTCAATCTGACCTGAAGAAGTTCTCTGAAATCACTTGCTTATTTTCTGTGTTCTTAGGAATTTGAGCTCCGTGAACGAAAAGACCCGCCGGTCGATGAGAGAAACAAATGGAATTGTGGAGTCTTTGGTGAACTACATCAAGGCCTGCCTCAAAACAAACAGAGCCGATGAAAAGGTGGGAGAATAGCTAAAAAATAAGGAGAAATCCAGAGAAGGCAAAAAATAAAATACACATTTTTTTTAATAAGCCCCTCCTACCAGAGGAGGCGAGGCACTGCCACATGCTTCAATAGCACTACAAGTAAGTCAGTGTTGACGTTGGCGTTCATGTGGGATTCAAACCCTGGTCCTCCAGGTGAAACCCTTCTTTTTATCTCTTTTTTAAACTATATATATAGTGCTCAAGTTGGTTTGATAAGTGACCTCTTACAGGCTTGTTTTTGTTGTTGTTGTTTTTAACGCCTACAGTCTAATTTCCCCTAAGACAACTTGAGTTGCAGTATATTATATATGTTGTTTTTTTTGTTTTGTTTTTTTGTCCAAAATGATACACAGGCCTAATTTCCTTTGTGTACTTATTTGTCTGGATGTGTGTATGTCTGTTCTAGGGGGTGGAGAATTCAGTGTGTATCTTGAGGAACCTCTCCTACCAGCTCTACAGCGAACTTCCATCTTCTGTTTTAGCCCGCATTGAACCAAACAGAGATCAGGACAATGGGCTGGGCGAATCCATCGGCTGCTTTACACCTCAGAGCCGAAAAACCAAAACTGTAAGCACGTGTGAGAATCGCTCCATTAGCAAGTGCACATAGACCATCCTGCACATCTTAATTCTGCCTTCTCCTGTATTTCTTTGACTGACAGAAAAAGAAGCAGTTTCAAATTTTAGGTCAAGTTGCCAAAATGCCAAATGGTATGGAGTGGCTCTGGCATCCTGATATTTTGAAGGTGTACCATGAATTGCTGAAAAACTGCGAAATCAACAGTAACACCCGCGAAGCAGCTGCTGGAGCACTGCAGAACATCACAGCTGGAGACAAAAGGGTGAGCAGCAAATTCATCAGGGATTCAAATGTAGTAACCATACACTGTATATAAAAGATGTAAACAGCTACAGTGGCATCACCCAGCATCCCAGAGTGGTGGGAATACAAGTTGCATTAATAAAGAGTTTGTTGTGTTTAATGTAATAAAGAGGTTCAGAGATCAAAGACAAATGGAGTACATCTTATCTTAATAAGGTCCAATTACCTAAAAGAAAAGTAAAACAGTCGAATTTCACTCACCAAAATGAAATAAAGTTTTCTTGGATGCACTGTAACACAGAGAAAGCCAAAACTGCTTTTTCCGCTAATTCCATTAAAAATGTTTCCAAAGGAGTCGCTGGTACATACAAGGCCAAACTGTCCGGATAAGGGACTAATGTCAGCCGTAGTTACATTTTTTGTCTTGTGCCCGCTCTCGGGGAAATACAACTACAACTGGAAAAAAAGACATCACAGTTACGGACATTAGACATATTACAAGGAAGTGCTGAGTAACACAGTGATAACATCATCACAAATCAAAGCACAAGCAACACAGAGATGAAGGACTCGGTATAAAAGATCTCTAACAATGCAAAGTTTACAAAGGTTGTTTGATAATTAGCTATAATTAGTCCATCTCATACATTAATTGCTCTGTCTCTTTAACTTGTAGTGGCCTGCGGTGCTGAGCGATATGGCTTTGGACAAAGAACGCATGCTGCCAACCATCGTAGACATGGTACCTCGTTCTGCCAAAGATACAGAGCTGCGTTCGCTCACAGGTTTCCTACGAAACCTTTCCCGCCATACCGACGATAAAGACGACATGGGTCAGTCTTTTTTTTTTCTCTTCCCCTTCTGTAGAAATGTTGATGTCTCTAAGACACAGAATATAAAACCCTAAACCGTTGTCTTTGCAAAATTTTAAGAATTAGTGGATTGTCAAAATTGAATTTGTATTGGTTTATTTAGCCAAAAAGACTGTGAACACACTGGTGGATAAACTGCCTATGAATGGAAATCAGAAGTGTCCCTCCAGCGAATCGGTGGTCAACATCTGCGGTATTTTCAATAACCTGGTGACTGGCAGCATGAGTGCAGCCAGAGACATCGCCCAATTTGATGGCCTGCCAAAACTGATGAGCATCCACAACTCACAAACCAGCAGGTTGGAACATTTTTCCAGACTCCTGATGTTCAATTTTAATGTTGCTATCCAAAATTTTGTGTGTGAAGTCATTTGTATCATTTAATAACCTTGGATGAAATATTTTTCTAGCCTTGAAAAGAATAAGGCATCCACAGCAGCGGCCACAGTTCTGTCCAACATGTATCATTACAAGAAGCTGCACAGACAGTACCAATCGGTAAGAGATGGCTTTGAGCTCTGCACTTCTAATCATGACATGCAAGAAAAAATCAATAATATATCAAAGATAGAGCATCTAATTTCCTTCTATTCCTCATATATTTAGACAAACACCAATCTTTCCATTTTCAGTTTACTATTTTTTTCCAAGCTTTTGACACTTAAAAAAAATCCTTTTAAAGAGTTTCCTGACCTCTGGTCCACACAAAAGTGAATATTCATTGAAAACAGTTTCTTTTCTCGCCGCCCCACCCTCATTCTTATCAGCTTGTGTGCATTTGTGTGTACATGCACATTATGTCTGAGTGTGAAAGAGAGAGTGACGGGAATTCTATGACAAACTCTGTTCATTCTCTGCAAAACTCTCTCAGTTAGATGACACGTTTAACACCCCACACTGCTACTCTTTAAACACACACACACACACACACACACACACACACACACACACACACGCGAACATATCCAGTCAGGCAGGTTCAGGGCTTGAGAAGGATAAGGTAATTTTACTGCCTTCTGCAGATCGCAGCTTGTCCCACCCAAAGGTGCGGCGTACAGCTTGTTTCTTCATGAACTTGTTCACACAACAGGAAACATGATTTAATGTTGGCTTTGATTAGAGTTTTCATTTTATTAATCAGATACGCACTCCATTGCGTTACTTTACATTTTGCATAATACTGTAAGTACAAGAGCACAGATGATCTTAAGATCACGGCAGGTTGTTTTTCTGTGTTTTGAAGTATATTTAATATCATAACATCTTGTTTGTACCTTTTGTGCTACAGAAAGGATTCACAAAACAGTATCAATCAACGCTATTGATCTAAAGCTGAGGTAACTTGGGACAAATTCAATTCTACAACAGCGAACAATCCTGAAGTCTACCAGCACTCAGTGGCAGAAATCTATACCACAGTAACATCTGCTCTGTCTTCACCTGCAATCATTTATGTTATGGATATCAATACACAAGTAACAGAGGATCCATCCAAAGGAAATGTCAGTGGCATCAATGCAGTGCAAGAATTTATGGATTCTAATACACATATTTGCACCTTAAGCATTTACTCTCTTTGTTAGATCACTGTATGCGTTTTATGTATAATCAGGGATTTATTTTCTGTCACAGAGGTTTTAAAGCAGTTGATGGACAATCTGATGGACACTTGTGCCTTAGGTTTTAACAAAACTCCCTGTTTTGTCTCTCTCGCTTACGGTTCAGATGCAAGATAGCCTTGTTTTTGTAAATATTGCTTTTTCTTTTGCATAGAAATGACATGTGTGTGTTGTATAGACAGCAGCCCTTTGTACTCGTAGTTTTCAGATAGATGATGTCTGTTATATTTGAATGTAAACCATAGATTTATAGAAATTTGGATGTAAATAAATTAGCTTAAGGGGGGGGGTGTCATTCAATGTGGAATTTTGTTTATACATATTTCTATTCTTATGCAATGTTGTTATAGTAATCACTGTTTTTCTGTTGTAATTAATGGTGTGTGCTTAATGCTGGGGTGGCTTGATTACTTGTTGCAGGACAGATGAAACCAAGTATTTGTCATTTTAGCTATTAGCTGTGGCAAATTGTAGATGTCAACGTCTTTCAAACCTGGATCCATTGTGCAGTAAATCTATTTTGCAAAGTCTATTGTATAAAAATTAAATCCCTGAACTGCAGCAGTTGCTGCTCAGTGGCATAAATGGTAACCTTGTGTTTCTGTGTGGGCAGTAGAAGACACTTTGTTTGATGCTTTTTGCAGAGGTGTCATCTGCATATTTAACATCTAATAAAGAGAAACATTTGGAAATGAAATGACATTTTGTTTGCGTTTCTTTAGCGTGTGCGCACAGCACCATTTGCTGCCGAAACAGACGCACACCAACACTGTAAAATGCCAGCCACACCCTGTTTGCATATTTGTTCCTGCTCAGACAGGAACAATACCAGACCTTCCCTGCTGCACCCTTATTTAGGCTCTTACCTCAGTGCAGGACCTCCATGAGGAGAGAGAACGTCAACGTTTACAAAGGAAAGAAAACCTTGTGATTGATTTCCAGTACGTGCAAAGTTTCCAGCTAAACAATCCTATTGTGTGGGAGTCCCGTTCCTTCACCTGACTAGGAAAAAAAGCATATTCCCTGGATTCTCTGGACTGATATCTGATCTGTCATGTGTATGTTTTTATGTCTTTGCCAACTATTTGTTTACTGCCAACTATAAAAGGAAGATCGAGTGCTTATAAATTAAAAAAGAAAATCCTTAAGACACCGTCATTACACTGTCTTTTGTTGGAGACTAAAATAAAGATCAACAGGGTAAATTGGCAATTAATAAAATATTTATTGTACACACACTCTTAATTACACTTACTTCCCTGAAATACTTCAGACAATTTCTCACAAAGTATGTTACACATCAGTATGAAATGTAAAAATGCTAAAAATCATCTATGGCATGTAGAAACAGAAAGCAACACACTGATTTTAATAACACATTGTACAGATTGGAAACAGTTGGCTACACGATGCAGAAAACAAAAAATAGACGTGCCGACAGCGATCTCTACAGAGCGTCGAGTTTTAGAAAGGAGTGTGAATCAGATGTCCTCAGCGACCAGGCAGTAGAAGTCTGAGCGTGCTGCGTAGTTGCGTGATCCCAGGTCCGAGATGTCGATGTCAGAGGGTTTTGGCTCAGCTGCTGAGCTGGTTGCAGCGGGGAGAACTGGAGCTTTGCAAGACAAAGCTTTGTAGACAGGGAGGCGAAGACCTGCGACACAGAGAGAAGGAGAGCGATGCAAAATGTCACTTTCCCCTTCTTTGGTTTGTATTGATTAAATTGTGTGGTGATTTTTTCTGTATGAGTGTACAAATAAAATATTTGTTTTACATTTTTACTGCAAAGTAAAAGGAAACTATTGCTTTGATTTTTTATAAAGACTTAAAATGGGTGCTCTCTGCTGGGCTCTGTCCAAAGTTACCATCACTTGAAAACCTCACCAGCACCAAAGCTTCAACATGAATAATTGTATGCTCAGCTCTTTGTGGCTAAGTGTAGCGGCTTTTTGAAAACTCATAAATCCAGACCTAGGACGAGTGTGTTTATTGCTCTTTACCTTTGGACAGACCCAGCCAAGTTGTTTATGCCATCACAAAGTTAAACTAACCTAAGCCAAGCCAAGCCCACCATCATTTGACTGCAGCGCTTTGTAAATAGTTTTAATTCTTGCATCTAACTTCCTGCAAGAAAACAAACCAATGAACAGTTTTTAACTCTTAAGAACGAAATGAAAGCATTCTCATCAATAGTGAAATGAAAAGTAAATATGTGAAAGACCATTGTGATATAATGCCTTAGTTATGAAGTTAAGTATTAACTATAGCTTAGTCAGTATTTGTTTATTCAAATTGGGAACTAACTAAGTGAAATGAAGAGGGTTTCGACTCTGACGTGGGTTTTTTTTTTGTTTTTAAGTCTTTCAGGTTGAGACTTGTATGAAGGCTGGAACATTTTATGTTGCACTCTTGTGACAACAAGTACAAGAACTGCTGAATAGTTGATGATTTGCATTACTGGATCAAAGTCATTAACAGGTGCTTGTTAAACATGTGAATGCTTGCCTCAGTATTTTTTCCAGATATTAAAATTTTAACATTTTCGTGTGTGTTTCTCACACAAAACCTAGACTGCACCTCTTACCCAGATCACCGGCAGGGTCCGTATCTGAACGGTAGTCCAGGTGGTCCGGCTGAAGGGTCAGCATTGGGTCTTTGTCATCCTCCAGCAATGTCTGAGGGTCACCAGCAGACTCCTTGTGGAAGACAACACTGCGAGGCATTGCTAAAGCTAGCTCTTTCCAGAAGACAGATGAAGGCGTCTGTGCAAACACAAGCACAAAGACACCAAATAACATTCGTCCCAGCAAGCTGCTACAAAGTCAAGCGAACCTTCTAAAGTGCAATGCTATAGTTTTCATTTCATTTTGAATTGATAAAGCTGCTCATTTTTGATATCAATAATGCATGATAGCAAAGTGAAAACAAAGATGTTTCAACTTTTATGAAAGACTGAGAAAAATATGTGAATGCAAAAATGCATGACTGTGGCAGTCACTTTTACAAGCTAACTTAGTGATAATTCAGATCTTCTTGGGGGGGGGGGTCCTCAAAACTTCTGTAAAATAAACACTAGCTTTATCACTATTATTATTCTAGCCTTGAACCTTCCAATAAACTTTTGAGAACGTAGAAGAACACAAAAATCTTCTGACTTGTAACTGACAGATTTCTATCTGCACTGTTACTCTCTGTTATTGTCTCCTCTTCCTGGTTTTCCCTGGTTTGAAGTGGGCAGTGCTACAGTTGAAAATGTAATGGCATGTACAAATGCAAACCAATCATTAAAATTCCCCACATTTTAAACCTAAACATCGTGACAACCAATCAAATCTACCACACCCACAGTGTCCTTCGGATAATGTCAGTCGAAACTATCCATCATATTAGCAAGGAAACAACATATGGCTGGAGTATTACCACAGAGTTGTGTCTCCAGGTAAGTATGGTGAGGCAGTGCTGGTGCTCACTAAGCTGCTGTTTGACCTCTGGCCTCATGCGCTTATACTGACCATCCAACAAGATGAAGATGGGCTGCTGACACAACTCCAACAAGTGCAGGAGGCCTTGTCTAAAAAATACACAGAGCTCCAGTTAAACATAGGACACTGCATATTGGAGCAATTCTGCCCTCAAGTGGTACGATGTAATAATACACAAATTATTACATTTGCTTTCACACTTTCATAACTTGGCTGTTTGCTATATAAATACAATATCATTTTTATTTATAAAGCAAAGTTTAAATAGTGATATTTCTGTGTATTCCGTCCTACCTGAAGTTACTGGAACACCAGTCCTGTTCAAGGTAAGCAAAAGAGAGCAGCACGATGAGGCGCCGAGAGCGACTCATGTTCATTAGGAGCTCTGCAGAAGGATCTGAAAACAGATGGTGCAATTAAAAAGGCAAAAATTAATGTTTTTTACACGAATCAGTGCAGAATATTAAGAACACTCTTACTGTTTCCATAAACATTAGGAGGGTAAGTAGCAGCCATGTGCTGCTACCTCTATAAAAGTAGAAGAGCTGCATCTCAGACTTTGCAGGCCTCAGTCAGCATATTAAAGGTTAAAGTTACAACAGTACAAATAGAAAAAGACTGACAAAGTGTGGCTTGTTTGGAATGTTTGAAAAGTTGCATCTTAGCAAACCACAAGACTTCTGGAACAATGATCTGTGACGGCCAAGACCAAAGTGGAAATGTTTGGCCATGACGCAAAGCACCAAATATAGTGAATACCAAACATAGCATATTAGCACAAACACCTCATACCAACTGTGAAGCACTGTGGTGGCGGGGTGTGATTTGCGCTTGTTTTGCAGCCACAGAACCTGGGCACCTTGTGGTCTCTGAGTTGACCAATGGTGCTGGAGTTTAGTGACTAAGAGGCTGGCAAGGCTAGCACAGAGAGCTGACCAGTGGATTTGAACTCATAACCCTTTTCTGTTTCATTTCTAACATTTCTAACTATTGTAACACTGTGTGGCCTGAGTGTAGTTAACCTCCTAAGACCCGAACTCTTCCATGGCATGCATTTTTAATTTCTCTTTGATATTTGGGCATATTGGGACCTGATGAGTGTAAAAACAAAGAATTGCCAGATTTTTTTTGTTTTACCTGATTTTTGTTCCTGACAAAAATGAGATGCACATATGAGGATATTTGTTTAAAATTTCAATAGAACAGTGGCAGTATAATGTCCTCGTAAGTGGATATCAGGCCCTTGTAGAGCAAAATTTAGTATTTTGGTCTAGACAACCCAAAACGTGATGTCCACATATGTGGACACCGGGTCCTAGGAGGTTAAAGATGAATTTGACTTCTTCAATTTCACACATTCCTGAAAGATGTGAACTCAGACAGTCAAAGACAGCTGTTATACATTAACTCTCACTCTGTCTACAGGTGTGACAGGCAATCTGACAGAAAGTGAGACCTATATTTTTGGTCTTTTTCTGACAGGGACAACTGATTTTCTATGGTTTATACAGAGTGCTGGCTTTCAGCACTTTAACCATATCTAGTCACATATGGGGCAATCTGTCTGAAAGCTAAAGCCTGGTATGAAATTGGGTCATGCAACAGGCACAGCGGTAAATATACAAGAGAAAGCTTGAAAAAGAAAAGAATAAAGGTGCTACAATGCCCCAGCTGTGCATAGACGAATACTCACAAACTTCAATGAACTAAAGCAACAAAGAGTGAGACGAAATTCTTGCACAACGATGTGAGAGACTGATAAACTCGTGAAGAAGTTATTGCTCTGATGTGGTTCTGAAAATTACTGATTCAGAGTGTCCTATAAAAATGATGTTTTTCATGATTTTACATTTCAGTGGGTTACTTAAAATTATATATACTGATCATGAAGCAGGCATGAATGAGGGAAGCAACACAGAAGCAATAGTAGCGCTGCAGTGTGGGAATATCATCATACCTGCACCAGGTAGTATGTCGTTGTCATTGAGGTGCACTTTGTACCCATTTATATTTTCCAGGTGAGGTTTGAGTACGAAGTTGACAAACTTCCTGTCATAGTCATTATTCACATATGAGATATAGGCATCATATAATTTCCCATCTGAAAAGGTTCAGACACAAACATCCAGGTGTTGTTAATACAAAAATATCAGTGCGGCAACTTAATTTAAATTCAAGAGAGGTCTCACCATTGAGTTCATAGTCTCCATACGAGTTCTTGTACCAGAGTTTGATGTTCAGGTGGCACCTCGAGTAAATGACAGCAGCTAAAGCCAGGAACAGGAGGAGGATGACAGCTGCAATCACGGCACCTGTGTGACTGGGGCTGCCTGGACATAGATACCAGAAGCAAAAGGAAAATCAATGGAGAATATAAAAGTAATACTCCAATTAAAAGCTTTTATATTATACAACATATATTGTGGCACAATTTTTAATATACAGTATATTTGAGACTGCAAGTAAACTTTTGGGTGAAAATCCAAGATAAAAAAAAAGCACAGTTTTTTCAATTTAAATGATTAAAGATGTATGCTATATAATTATTCCACCCCGGAAAAAGAACAGCTCAAAGAATTAAAAGCACAAAATTACCATTATATTTATAGAGTATATGTGAATGTCTGACCACAACTGCACAGAAATAGTTTCTTTCCCAGTCTTTGTTTTTTTAAAATAACAATAATGTATACTTTATTGATCCCCGTGGGGAAATTCCTCTCTGCATTTAATCCATTCACCCAGTGAAGCAATGGGCAGCCATTGGGCACCCAGGGAACAGTGTGTAAGGATGATACCTTGCTCAGGGGTACCTTAGCGTAGCCTTTCAGTGGAGTTGAACCCCCGACCTTCTAATCATGGGGGCACCACTCTACCTACTGAGCTATCCCTGCCCCATTTTTTTATTTTATTCTTACCATGTAAAAAAAAGTAGTTACTGCTCACATAATATGTGACTATAGTGCTTTAAAGCATCAGTCTGGACCTGAACTAACTCATTATCAAAAATTATTCAATCAAGACAGAGCTACACAAGCATATCAAGTCAGATTCCTGTGTTTGTTGAGTTTGATGGTCCTGTGTAAGCACTTTAGTTAGTCTTTAATATTTAAGTTTGCAGGGAAAGGGCTGAAAATATAGTGTACGCTTAAACTAACTTCTTTTAGCTGCCGACTGTGTCCAGAGCAGTACATGCAAAGCCTAATGCCATCCACTGGAAGTAACCCACTGACTGTGGATCAAAATTTCAAAGAACCCCATTTAAAAGAAAACACCCTTAGCTGAGTAGATGGAATTTCTCCATTAAATAGTTAGTATTTAAAGAATATGTTTAAATATGGAAAATAGACCCATTATGTATCCTGAATAGCCTCAACTCCTATTTGAGAAACTTGTTTGTTTTTTTTATTTTTACCTAGATTCTTCAGACTGAAGTCAGCAGAAATGTTCCTCACTGTGCAGCTGTACAGCCCAAAATCTTCCAGCTCTCTGAGGGTGATCACTAGGAAGCTATTTATCATCAGCTGGTTGGCACCGGGAGACCTGATATAGTTAGACAGAAGATTAAGCACAGGTCTAAACACAGGTACATTATTAACTTTCGCCAAGCTAATATTCAACGGCTTCAAATCACCATGATGATGTGTTCAGCGAGGAAAGTGTGTGGTTATTGAGGGGATGACCATCTTTACTCCACTGCAACGTGGTGTCACATTGCTTCTCTGCTGGGTCCCAGAAGAGGAGAGCAGTGCAGTTCAGTTTCACAGTGGATCCCACATTTTCCCAGAGTGTTGTCGAGCCCCCGTTAGGTTTAAATTCTGGAGCCTTGGAGCACTGAGACTCTGTGTAAAGACACACAGCTGTTATCCATGTTCACTGCAAGATCTCCAGACAATAGGGGCCTTCATGCCAGGTAGCACCTGAGCCTGTTACTAGAAGGCATGCTGAAACAAAATACCTGTTTGCAGGTATATCCATTCAATTAACCCCTTCAAATCCACACACAAACTCTACAGCAGCTCATTGATTTCGAAATAACTTAATTACTCTAGCACACTGAAACATTACTTTACCTTTAACTAGGAGACGCACAGTAAATGTGACCGTGCTGTTGCTCTGTTGCTTACAGGTGTAATTTCCTTGGTCTTCCAAATTTAGGCTATTAAAGTCCAGGTAGATTTTGCTCTCATTTGTAGGGAGCTGCACGCAGTCCTTTTGCCAGGTCAGCTGTGTTTGAGATGTGCTCTGAGCAATCTTCAGAGGGCACTGTAGTTGATATGGATGCCCGACAAATGCCGCCTGTTCTTTAAACCTACTCTCATCCACGCAAGTTTGACCTTCGTAGAGAAGAAATACAGAGGTTTACTTAGGACAGAGTATTCAGTCCGTGTCAGTGCATTCATATCCCTAAGATAAAATCTGTAGGCTACACCTCAAAGTATTGAAAGACTTAATATTTATATTTACATCTAGATTCAATTAATTTTATGAATCCCCAAAAGGGCAGTTAGTTTGCATCTTACCCAGACAACCTATTTAACAGTCAAATTCACACAGCCTACACTCTTTAAACACTACTCACAAACATTGTTCCAGTAGAAGACACAGATCAACAAACAATGAAGTTAAATAAAAAATATAAATAAAATAAATTAATAGGATTAACAAGGAGAACTGTTTAAAAACTAGCAATCATGGAAAAATTAATCTAAATGATCCTGTCAGGGTTAAGTGATCAAATAGCCGAGGGAATTGAGGATTTTTGAGGATCCATTTGTTCTACACTGGACATAGCAGTGACTTGAGAGCAGCTTCCTGAAATGAGACCACAAAGCATACAAAACATGATCAGGATGGTCAATACTGTTTTTTTCCTCCTTTATTCCCTGTTTTTTCCTGATCAGGTATCATGTTATGTAAGGTAACATGACACCATGCACTGTTGTATCACTAAAAACTGAATCAGATGCCCAACAATCTAGTATGAATGGGATTTATGTTATTTTGGCCCATAAACAAACCACAAAGTAATAAGGCGACAGTATTAGCACAAATCTACCCCTGATGCTTGCTGTATGATCAAATGGATGCAGGCCACAATCCCCCGAAACTGGCTTTACTTCCTTTTAAAGAAACATTTTGCATACAGTCTGTGCATACAAGCAGCTTGCACAGACTCTGTGGAGCGACACGACACTGTGTAGTTTTAGGGCCTGGAGTAAGAGGTTAATGATGTATGAAGGTGAAGTTGTTTACACTTTCACCCATGAAGACGATGAGCAAAGGAGTGTTTCCCTGACTTAGATTATAATAGATTCAAACAATAATAATAATAATAATAATCAAGAAAAACACCAGCGTATTCAGTGTAAACAAATGAGCCTTACCAAATTAAACACATCGTTTAAACTAATGTCAGCTGCTGCTCTATTAAATCCTAACCTGTCGGTCAAGTTGGTCAGCGCATGCGCACATTGTGACGTTAAGGAAAAACCAACAAATATTCGCTCCTCCTTTTGACTTTTCCTCCTTTTCTTCTCTTTTTTTCTTTCAACCCGTCCGGGTCTAAAGTCCGTTTCTGGTCTTGTTGCCGGGCAACAGCATGTGACTGCGTGACAGTGACATGCGTGCACGCAATGACCACATGTGCATTGACCTGGTTGTTTAGCATACTCATCAGCATCTATGACCGCGATAAATAGTTTATAATAAAAACGCATCCACAATGAATACATTGAATACAGCCACAGCTCCCAGCTGTGGAGCTGTTAAGCAGGTGCTCCAAGCAAACTCTAAACCTGCCCTTAAAAACTGATAAGTAAATAACACCCTTACCGACTGCGAGTAAACCTCTGTCCCATAACCCGGAGCACATCAAAGTGAAAGCCACTAAAATCACAGCCATGAGCGGGCAGCTGTTTCCCTCTTCCTCCGTCCTCAGGTGAACACTGAACCGAGTGCAGAGTTTTCTGTTTAACTACATCACTAAACCACAACTTTCCTGGCTTATTATATGGTTACAAACAGAGTCGAGGCGGATATGCAAACGACAGCCTTGCGGTTCACTAACTGCACCTGGAAAAACCTGAAGCTCTCCTGCCGATTGGCTGGCCCTTGGTCATGTGATGCACACACCGACTTTTACCTGCCTTGCACTTTAACTTCCTGTACAGGAAGAAAACTGGCTAAAAAGGGATGTATGTGAATACTGTAACAGAGAGAACAACCAAAATGGTTTGTTGTCAACTTTTTATTTTAGTATTGCTGTTTAGATGTATGACACCCAATATACAGGCGCCATCTGGGCCCGAGAAGCTCTGGCAATAGAGATTATGAATCGCTAGATTTTGAATGCCTGGTAAAATAGAAATGAATAAACACCTACATAATATTAGTTGTTTATTAACAAAGGGTTTGTAAAAGGTGCGTTGAATTACTTTTTCACAACCTAGTACCGGTAAATGTATTACCTAAAGCTTTAAAATAACTTTTTATTACAAATAAAATTTACCGTATTTGACCCCTTCACAGTTTCCTTTTTCTTTTTTGTGTGCATATTTTTCAGATTTCTATTATTCAGACCAATGACTGTAGAAAAACAGTCATTGATTCAGACCGTAAAGCAAGACAAAGACAATACAAGCAAGTATTTGTAATAACTGGTGTTTACTTTGTCATAGCACTGTGAAGGCATTTTGGCCCACTCCTCTTTGTGAATTTTTTTAAATTCAGCCACACAGGATGGTTTTCAAGTATGGATAGTCTGATTAAGGTCATGCCAAAGCATCTCAATCGAATTTAACTTTGGACAGCTACTCATCCACTCCAGGTGTACTTGAGCTTCAGGACATGAACTGATGGCCGGATGTTTTTCTTCAGGATTTTCTGGCAGAGAGCAGAATTCATGGTTTAATTTCAGCAAGTCTTCCTGAAGCAGCAAAGCAGCCTCGGACCATCACTTTACCACCACCACATTTGCTGTTGGAATGATGTTCTTTTTGTGAAATGTTGTGTTAGTTTTATGACAAATATAACGGGACAAAAAGCCTCCAAAAAGTTAAACTTTTTTCTCATCACTGTAGAATATTTCCCAAAAGTCTTGGGGTTCATCAAGATGTTTTTTGGGAAATGTGAGGGAGGCCTTTGTGTTATTTTTGGTTAGCAGTAGTTTTCTCCTTGAACTCCCCTGGATGCTATTTTTGCCCAGTCTCTTTCTTATTGTTGGATCAAGAACTTTGATATTAACTGAGCCAAATGAGGCCTGCAGTTCTTTTGATTGCCTTTGCATTCTTTTGTGACCTTACCACAAGTCTAAATGTCATAAATAAAGTCATTAGTAAAAATTTTATTTTTATAGCACTGCAACCTTTTGCGGCTGAATTTACAGCGAGGAAGACCAAGACAAGGTATGTTGGAAGCAAGAGGCATTTATTTGCCCATTTAGCTCTGGCTATGACAGTTACTCACATGTCAAGCCTTCTCACAGCACGAACAATCACACTCATCTGATGACAACTGGCAGCCTTAAATACTCGCAGCTCTTAAGTTCTAAACCAGTTTTTTACTGTCAGGCAAAATTGAGGTTGAGGTTTTTCTAAATCTAACCGTCCACCAACACTCTACAATACACAATTTTATTAAATGAATATATACATACATTTTACAACTTACATGTTTTGTTTTTTTTGTTTTTTAAAAAACATGTTTTGCAACAAAATGCTAGAAACACAAGGTTACCTTATTGCAGCTGCCCCTTATCACATGACTTCAGGGGCATGCTGGGGATGTAAAAGTTCACTGATGTATGATGTTGCTGCTTCATGCAGACCTCTAAAAGTAGAAATCAGAATCTGAAAGTGGACTTATAAGTTAATGGGGAGCCAGTGCAACTGAGTCAGCAACTGTGTGACATGTGAAGAATTAGTCAGAAGCCTCGTGGAAGTGTCCTGAACAACCTGCAGCTCTGTCAAAGAAGTTTTGTTAAGGGAAGAAAACAATGAATTACAGTAATCCAGGCGTGATGAAATAAAGGTATTAATAACCATCTCCAATTCATGCCGTGACACAGAGGAATTCATTAAGGAATGTTTTAAATCAACAGCTCTTCTTATATTGGTAGTACAAATCCTATTTTGTTTTATGCACACAAAATGTAAACTGCAAATGTGTAATATTTACAATATCTTTGTGATTAAGCTACTGCTTTAAAACCTTTTGTTTTAAAATGTATTTTTCTTGAAAATCAAACTTGAAGACAAAAGACGTGTGGCTTTTTTGCCACTGAATCGAGATTGCTTCTACTCCTATCCGTGGCTTTGCAAATTCAAAAATGCTCACATGTTAAATTAATAGACAATCACAATGACAGATGTTTTCTCTTTTGTATTTAATGATATAAAATGTTATAAAGCAAAACATTTTTGCATCTGAGTTACAAAATACACAATTGGATTCTGCCTGTAGTAAAGCAACAATCATCACAGCGCTTTTTGTGTAAAACAGTATACATTAAGGCATAACACAGTCAACACCCCGTTTACAGTATCAGTATAAATTATCTTTAGTCTTTCAATACAAAACACAGGCTCGTATATATGGAGTTTCTACAGCAAGCAAGTGGTGGATTCTCAATACAGAATAAGAATAATCTCGTGAAAGTTGCGGTCAGTAACATCAGCTGCTGTACACTGGTTTTCTTCAAGACAAATTGCCTTTACAGTCCTTTTAATGGATGACAATCCAGCCACAGGCCTCCATCTGAGCTCCTCAGAGAGATGATTAAGAACCTTGAAGTTGACGCAACACTGCAGTAGTCTGGAGACTTTAATGCACAAGTCAACACTGGGTTTGTGTTGTTCGGGTAACATGTATCCCGTTTACACCGTCATGCTTCAAATGATCTGCAAGAAATAAAAACAAACACATTTTATAAGTCATCATGTATCAACAATACTGTTAAACATTTCAAATTAGAGTACTGTTGAATTTGTGTTTTTTTTGTGTGTGAAAACTATTTTAAACAGATATCACGTGGCAATCGCTAAGGAAGTCAGGCTGTCTACATGAAAAATGTTGGGAAAAACCAAATTTAAATGCACCCTTTTTAATATAGGCATGTTTAAATAAATCTTAATTAGTTTTTTAGTAGCACTACTATCAATATTATTAGTTCTGCAAGCAGAATAAAGGTTTAGCTTTTAAATAGATCTTAAACAACAAAACTGTGTTAAAGCAACTCAATTATGCTTATTGACCAAATACTTGACAAAGAAGCCCTTTGTCCTACTTGTCCGAATCTGTGTAAACGGGCCAGGATGGTTAAACTTGATAGTTTCAGCTGAAAATCAGAGACTTAGGGAAAGTGTACAGTTTAACTTTGGGGCAATAAATGAGCCACCTTTTCACTGCTCATATCAGCTCATGATATTACTGTAATTGAAAGAAAGTAACGTGTAGTAACAAAGCATTTTGATAACACTGACATATTTAGTGTCTCATGTCATGACTTAATAGAGCTAATAGTGATTCAGACACATTCTGAAACCTTTGGGGACACAAGCATTACTTACAGGTACATTTCAGAAGATACATGACATGTCACGCTATTGCACAACAGTTTTGGGGGGGTTTCTTGCATTAAGCAGTCACACGTAAGCATGTATTATCAAAGACTCACTGGAGTTCCTCTTTTAGCCTCTTGAGTTTATCTGAGAGCCTACAGTTCTTCACTTCCATGGGAGCACTCGGTATAAACCAGGCTGCAATGAACTTGCATATGACAACAACATGCTGCAAGCAGAGGGTACATGGTTAGGAAGTGGATCTCATTTTATAAACAAACAAACAAACAAACTAAAAAAAAAACGTAATTTATTATTTTATTAAAAAAGGAGGTAATGGGTTATTTCATACACCTTGGTTTTGTTACAGCCCGACTCTAAGCTCTGAAAACTTTTTCAAAGCTGTCAAAGTTAGAAAATCATTGTGTTGAATACATTGTAGTTAGGAAGAAGTAGCATCCCAATGCAAACTCAAAGACAGACTTGAAACTTGCAACAACCTTTAATTTAAGGTGTATAATAATCCATAGAAGATGGGAACTTACACAGGGAGCACAGCTGAAGCAAATCATAGATAGAAAACCAAAGTACAACACACTGGGTAACAGACTATCACAATAAAACAGGAAATGTTGTCAACACTATGACATACAGACTTGATAGAGGGGCAGCAGAAACACATTGTAACAAACACAGAGATCACAAATATGGGTGACTAACTGGGGGAACAAAGGAATGAAGAAAGATAGTAAGTAAGAATTATAAAACCAAGAATAAAAACCAGAATGTAACAGAAAATGCAAAAGATATTTATCAGTCAAATAAATATACAAAGAGAGGCCAACAAAAGTATAAAATTCTCCCAAACTTAAAGGATGACAAAACCCAAAAACCTTAATAATTAATAGTTACAAGTACCAAATCCTGGATCCAAAACCCAGAGATTGTAACAGAATGCTAAAAAACTGCTCAGGAAAGAGGTGAATGTGTGAATGTAATGCCGTGCTTTGTAAAAGTCCAAAGGTCTTACCTCAAACAAGATGACGAACGCAAAGCGCGCAGCTAAAATGATCCAGAACTGATGGGTATGAGTGTAGTCATCTTTGCTCCTGTAGTCCTTATATCTGTCAAAAGGAACATACTAGATTTTGATCAGATGTTTTTTTTATTTTTTTATTTTTAACTCAAAAACTTAATCTGTAAGAGAAAACTAAAGGAAAACAAACCTGCACAAGAAAGGCTCTTCACCAGGAGGGATGTTCTCGCTGTATTTATATGAACCATTCACACGAAGAAATGGGGCAATGGAGAGAGTGTTGTTGATGTAACCCACCATACAACTTGAACATGAGAAAAAGAAAAACGTAAAAGAAAGCCATATAACCATATAAGCCATACAGCCAATTGCAAAATGTATAGAATTTCGAGAGGCATCCACTTCTCACTCAGTATCTGGTGCAGCTGTGCCTTGGGCACACGGGCCGTAGTGATAACGGTAC